ATGGCACACACGTACTGTACACACAAACACACACACACACACACACTCATGGCCACTGTGCTCACAGACAAGCTGTCTTACATGAGACACAAGCCATGGACGGGCAGTCACACACACACACACACCAACAGACACTCATTGGCTTGCACATGTCAACACAAGATATAATCTGTTATTTGCAGCAAGCACGCAGACTGATAACTCCTTGACACGACCATAAGTTACTGACACACGCACACAGTCACAGAGTTAAATTGACAGCTGGAGGTGTCAGTGTGTCTGGGTGAAGCATTGCAGACATCTGCAGCAGTTTAGAATCTGAACAGCAGATTAGAGGGGTGGGGGATATAGGGGTGCGGGGGGTGCGGGGGGGGGGGGTGGCAGTATGAGAGACACGCGAGAAGTTAGTGAAGTGAGAATAGACTGATGGAGGAAGTCGAGGGAGAGATGGATGGATGACCTTCACACATCTTGAATTGTGCTGGTACAGAGTAAAGTTTTAAAAATAACTTCTGTCCTCATCTACAGTATATCTCTCGCTGTGTGTTCTATCTCTACATCTATTTCATTTTCTCTCTTTCAATCTTTCTCACTCTTGTTCTCTCTTAATCTCTCTCTCTCTCGTTTCCTTTTACTTGGAAAAAGAACATAATCTCTCTATCGCTGTGGGCCTTAATTACACTGGATCAGGGAGATGACAGGGCACTTGGAGAGTGTGCTTTATGTGTGTGTGTGTGCGTGTGTGTGTGATGAAGCTGAGACAGATGTTGTCTGTGTTGTTATAGCACACAGGTTCTCTAATGTCTCTGGGTAATAATGAATAAAACCTTCATCAGCTGTAACACTGATATAGCTACAACATTTCATTTCATCTACTTTCTCTCCTCCTCTTTAAAAAACCTTTTTCTTTTGCTTTTTATAAACCTTTGCTGGTAATGCTGAACTAAGTTAGAGTTTGTATTCACCACAATGGGATCACTGATGTAAACTATTTACAAGATGAGGAAAAGTCAAATATAGTTGATAAAATAATATTAGTAAGTTTCCATTGTTTCCATTGTTGTTCCAATATTTGAATAGATTCTGATCAGCTGCATGGAGATGTCACAGGAAATTTTGGTTTTCCTCTGGCACTACATGTGGAACTGATTTGCCAAGGTCAGAATGAAATATTTCAGATGCTATATGTATGGAGGTTTTCATAACAGTTGATTTATTGTCTTATATAATCAAAATGACATTTTTACTACATGTTGCCCACCCAAAATAATGGTAGCCTTTACAGAGTTTGAATGTAATTCCTTCATATTTCATCTGGAATTATTTCCCAAAAGACCTGGCATCACGTGTCTATGAAAAACCAACTTTAACTTTCTTTGATTTCATAATTCTGTGCCTGAAATCAAAGTTGTCATATCAGTGTAAGTGTGTGCTGTGAGCCACTGAATGAAATAGCCTGTTTGCATCACATTCATTCTGCATTTTGTTAGTAAGAGACAACAGTTAATTTTAAGATGGGCCTGGTAGGTTTTAAAAAAAAAATACATTTCCAAACTGAAACAAAAAATGAATGCTAGACAAAGCATGGTTACTTTTGCCCAACACCTGCAGGAAATGAGCTAGATGTGGCGAACAGGCTAGGACAACTTAAAATGTTTTGTTTCCCCTTTTCTTTCCCTCTGAGTATTTGATGTGTTTCATACTGCTTTTGTGAATCCCCTAAAGGGAAAGTCCTTGCCCTGCCTACATCCTGTCTTTACTCTCCACTCTTCTCTTCACCTTCTACACTCATAAATCCGTACTTATTATTTCTTTGTCATGCGGTGCACGCACTGGCCCATGCTTTGTCGCCCTCAGACAAACAGCTGCACGTGTGCGCAGCTGGCAGCAGTAACGGAGCCCCACCAGTAGGGTGCAGCAGAGGGTGCCGGACAACTAGGGACACTGGTGGGGCTAATGGGAATCGTTCTGGTACAAAAATATATTTTTTTATATAATGGCAAATTATTTATATCATAAAGTAATACACATCTAAATGGGTGTTACATACGTTTGTTTGACATCATCTGCTTTGCACAGACTCCCCCAGACCCACAGAGCGGCCCATGTAAATGCCATAGTCTGCTCTTTTAATTCCAAAATATGACTCACACATACTAAAAAAGGCCCCACCATTAGGGTGCAGCAGAGGGTGCCGGACAACTAGGGACACTGGTGGGGCTAATGGAAATCATTCAGAGAACATCACGACTTTGTGTTATGTGTGTGTGAGTCAATGGAAGGGTAAGGCTGAATCGAGAAAGGCAGCGGAGGCACAGTGGAGCACATAATTGCAACAGGGAGGGAAAAGTTAGATAGATGAAGTCAGATAATGGAGAAGAGTGAGAACACAGACAGGAATACAGACCCTGAGGCAAAAGCAAAAGCAAAAAAAAAAAAAAGACTGACAGATAACACTGCTGCTCACACAGAATGACTTAATGCTCAAAGACTACAGAGGCTGGAACAGTGTCAATCCAAAAATCAGTCAAAAAACGTCCCAAATTGGCTTGAATTACACCGCCTTTTTCCACACCACAGCTTCATTCATTTTTTTGGGACATGGCTGAGGGTGAGAGGAGAGAATGAGGACATGCCAGGGTGAAACAGAGAAAGCAGAGGAAGAAGGGCA